GAAATAATGACATATGCTGACTGGAATCAACTGTGTGGTTCCTGTGGTTGTTATTGCAATAAATCTTACAGTGATAAAGACACAGATGATTCCCTATATGTTTATAGTGCTAAAGTACATGTGATGAGATCCATCCGAACATATCTCTTACTGTATATTAATGTTTGATGAATTGCATACAGTGGACTTAAAGAGCTGAATATGAAACATGATATGATTTAGATATATATATTTTTCAGTGAGAGAATGAAAGCCATGGAGGAGCAGATAGCCAGTCTAGCAGGACTGGTGCACCATGCTCTGTCTATGGGATCAGATGTTCCAGGAGTCAAGGACACTGTCAGGTCAGTAACATTGCCTTTATCCCTTTAAGCCAACAGCAGCTTGTACCACAGCAACAATTAATCTGAGCACATAGAATATATTCATTTAGATTCATCCACAGTATGTGTACTCAACAATGGTATGTAAAGTCATTCATACAACTGAACCACAAAATAATTCAGTAGACACACAGTAGAATAGACCTTTAATGGATATTTCAGGTAATAATAATTTATTTATTTCTGTATAAGCCCAGGCTAAACCAAGCATGGCTTATTATGTAACTGTGTGTCATTTCAGTGAGCCTGCTGGACGCAAACTTTTCAACAACAGACCTGGTGAGATATTTTCAACAGATGGTGACATGACCTGCTACAACATACTTAAGTCGCTTTAAACATGATGATAACCTTAAATTCCCCTTCCTTTGATCTTAAGGAGTGTCCACTGAGGTGCAGAACCCTGCTGCTTTGACTGACCACTTCAGCCCTACCCCCTTGGCTCTTCAGGCTCCTCCCTCTGACAGCGGGATGCAGCAGAGCTTGATGTTAGCGAAGAAGAGTGTGTGTGAGCTGCGGCTGCAACTCAACCAACTGAGACACTTACAGGTGACCTGTGTACTCAACTAATTATAGTCAGTGCTCAATTAAAGCTACAAACAGTGTTGAATTCAGTGTCAGGGCATGCCTCAGTGCCTCATACGTTGTGCAGAAACCGTACAAAACAGTACTGTCGCCTACCTGTTTTTCCACCGCTCGCTTCACCGAAAGCCCAGAATAATCG